TTATTTTTTTGTTAAGTTAGTATAGCGGAATTTAAAGAAACATCACTAGGGGCCATTTCAGAAACTTGAAAATATTTTTCCGATTTTTCTCTTGGCCCTTCTAGTAAGAACACTTTTTTCCGTAAGCATCTACGATAGACAGCTTCTAAAATACAGTACCTCGCATTCTTAGGTGGCCACCCTGTACATAATGATCGACCAGCCAAAGATTGCTAGGGACGAAAGGGGGAAATGCGATGAAAAAACCTTACCATTAGACGATTTTATATGGAGTCATAGGCGGAGATCGGAGAGACTTGAATTATTAATTGAATTTATATTTTATTACAACTGGTAGTATTAATATTTTTTTGCGATTCATAATGACGTGATACCAAACATACATTATAAGAAATAAATATACACAAACACTGAATATTGAGAACAAAATAAATATATTTTTTAGGCAACAAGTAATATTCCTATGTACGCATTATGATTGAACAGCAAAACAAATTATGCATTCTTCTAAAATAGAATACAACAAGTCAAAAATATCTGACTGAATAGAAAAATATAGGAAAACAAAAAGTAATTTCTTGATGAAATAACCCATAAACAACACATAGAATTAGACTTTCTACTGAGATACTAAAAGCCACAAACCAATAGTATAATAAATGAATATCTAAAAATTCTAAAAGGTAGCCAATCTAGTATAGTTTCAATCCTGATTAGAGTCATGATCACTGTCTGAGGAACTGTCATTGCTATCACTTTCACCTCCTATGTTGATTATTATTTCTTCCTGTATTTCTTGAATGAGACTGTCTTTTTCCCAATATTCATCTTCAATTTTTATAACATGTCCAATAACCTTTTGCCAGTCACTGGCACTTACTGAAGCGATGGCCTTATTAGAAATTTCATCTAGTTTTTTTATAGTAAATTCGCCGCTTGTATTATGGCTTCTAATGAAAAATTTTACTTGTGCCCAAATCATCTCTATGGGATTAAACTGACACATATAGGGTGGCGTTCGAAGTGGGGTGTGTCCGAAACTTCTTATTAAATTATCTATCTTATAATTTTTCTCATCAGATGGTGGCCTATGTAGACAAGCTATTTCATAAAGCTCCATTTTTTTAGCATTAGGATCATGCTCTATACCTTTTTTGCTCAACCACGTGATGATGTCTCTTTTTAGAGAAGATCTAGTTGGAGGCTTGTCTTCCAAAGCTGAATGGTAAGGTGCATTATCCATTATTATAATACTATTAGGAGGAATGTTAGGAAATAGTTTTTCAGTAAGCCACTTCGTGAAATTTTCTTGGTTCATTTGACCGTGATAATCACCAGTGGCACAGCCAGCCTTGAAAATGAGACAGGCTCCAGGAACAAAACCATCTTGCGAACCCGCATGAACAATTATAAGTCGTCCTGGAAATGAATAAATAGCCTCATTTTAGTGTTATTTTAAGTTTGCCAACACCTTTTTGAATCACTATGTATAAAAAACATATTTTTGAGAAAAAAATACTTGCAAGGGATTATGTATTCAATTAGACAAATTAAATGAGCACTTATTAAGAATATTCCAAAATTGAGAAAAATGTATAATAAGCAAAATCGAGGTGAAAGAAACTTTATTACCTGTAGAACTTATATTGCTCAGGACACCCATAATTTCTTCGCTTTGCCAGCATTTCTTGAAAGTGAGGTCATTATCAACCCAAGTTTCGTCCAAATAAATAATATGCCTTCCTTCTTCCCGGAACTTTTTAATAGACCTAAGATACTTGTATCGCCAATGTAAAATACTGGGTCTTTCCATTAGTAATTTCCTTTTGTTGTGGCATTTACGCCAGTAAAATCCTTTTGCTTTTAAAAGCAGCCTCAACGATTCTTTACCAAATGGAAATTCCATTTCTTCCTTCAGTTTGATTAGAAGTTTACTACAAGTAGGTACCACTTTAAAATCACAGTAAAATTTTTCTATCATTCTCCGAATAATGGAAAAATCGACTCCATCAATTTTTTGGATCACAGAAGGGCGTGATCTCTTTTTTCCGGGAGAAGCTAAAGGCTGTGTGGAGGTTGCATTTTGCCTGTCTTTATCTTCTTTTCTAATTTTACTTATAGTTCGTTCACTAACACCCGTATAATATGCCGCCCTTGCATTTCTAGCTACCAGTGGATAAACGAAAGTATTGTTAGCCGCTTCTGCATCGCAAGCACGTATCACGTTTGCTATTATTTCCCTTGCCTGGCTGTGAATAACTTTCCCATGCTTGAATTCCATTATCACCACTAAACAGTAAATTATATTTTCAAAGTATTTGCCAACTGCCTACGCCTATGGGAGTAGGTTTATAAATGACCGTGCCATCGGCACGTTATTCTAGTTTCAGATAAGATAAGAGTTTTGGACCAATCAGCGACCGGATGTTTACCTGCGGCCTGGGTTTTCCAGCTACATTGCCAAATTCAGCGGAACAATTCTATATCTTAAATATGTTAATATGTATGGACCGCATTTTATGTAGAACATCTGACAACTTCGCAATTTTTTGTCCGCATTCTTTCGGCTTGCAATCTTTCGCTGGTCCAACAATACGTACATGCCGTAAAAATTTCTGGCGGCTATAGCACTTTATAGCCAGTGACGTAGGAAGTAACAAACACCACAAAATATACACACAAAAATGGGTAGGAAGTGGTTAAAATATAGAATATAGTCCATACTAGCGTAAAATGGATAAGTAAATGTCATAGACACTAAAATCCACCGCCATCAGTTCATAAAGGATTATGTTTAGCAAAAGTTAGACTCTGTCGAAATAAGGCAGCTCCTCAAATCTGGATAGGGGATAGTTGCTATGCTTTCGTTTATGTCCATAGACCAATCATAGATCATGCTGATGAGTTGCCAAAAAAAGGTCGGACGAAATCAGCATGTTCAGGTTAGACTCTCTGAGAAAAAAGTTGGTCACGAACATTTATAAGAGAGAAATTGAACTGATCAAGTCCGTCAGGTTCATATAAGTCCATAGACATCCTTTTCCTGCCCTACCCTTAGAACCGTTCATCTGGCAACCTCTCCAATTTCGCAAGGACGCATGGCGCAATATTTCCCTATGGTTACAATGTTTAAGGGAAAATGTAGGATAAAATCAATTTTGTTTGAAATATACAGGGTCCGCAAAGTTGGGGTTTTCCTTTTCAGAAACAACTACCCTTGAAATAACAAAGGTAATGTGTAGTGAAACGAGGGCGACCAAGTAAAAAAAATAAAGGAAAAAGTACTCACTCTCCAGTTGACAAGAAGGGCTAAGTACGTCTCTGTCCGAAATCATACCGCTCCAACACAAAATGAAATCAGCTGATGCGCTACCGAGCATACGCCGGCGGTGGTCCATTACGTCCGATCCACCTATTCGGAAATAATTCATTCAAAAACTCACGCACTTCGCGTCTAAAATGGGGCGGCGCACCATCGTGCAGAAACCACATTGATTGTCTTACACTTAATGGCACATCTTCTAACAAGGAAGGCAAAATGTTGCGTTCAAAGTCTAGGTATTGCATCCCGTCCAATCGATTTGGGAGAATAAATGGTCCAATGAGCATACCGTTCACCATGCCAGCCCAAACATTCACCGAAAATGTTTGTTGAAAATGTGCCCGACGTACAGCGCGCGGATTTTCTACTGACCGAACATGAGTGTTGTGAAAGTTATTCACCCCGTTACGCGTGAACGTAGATTCGTCTGTCACCAATATGCACTTCAAAAAGTCCAGATTATTGTCATGTTGATGCAACAACCACTCACAAAACCGCACTCTTGCTGGAAAATCGTCAGGTTGAAGGGCTTGTACACGTTGGACGTGAAACGGATACAGCCCCTCTTCACGCAGCGTGTGCCACACTTTGCCACACACTCCTCTAGCCACGTCTCTAGTGCTTGTTGTTTTTTGAAACGCAATCGATTATACGGGTTCGTTTACCTCTGCACGCGTGACCGTAACCGTCGGTTGAAGGTTGCATACCGACCTGACACACTGACCCCGAACCAGTTCTGTCGTCGGGTTGAGCTAGTGTCCTAGTACCACTCCGGGATGTCGCGGGTTGCGGCTACAGGACGGTATTCAGGTATTTTTGATGTTGCAGAGCCCTTTATCTCGGTTCCCTTATGACATTGGTGTATATGGTACAAAGAAAAATTGCTTATGTTTTCAAGATCTTCACGTCGTGTGAAGGAAAACCCCAGCTTTGCGGACACCCTGTATCTAGTAGGCGCGTGGGAATAGTTTTAACTTTTGAGATTATGAAAACTGAGAATTTTGAAACCTTTAAAAACCGAAAATATTAATAGTTCTGAAAAAAACCAGAACATCTGAAAACCTCTAATGCCATTTGAGAAATGCAAATGTTGGGTGCGTTCTTGTTTTTCAAAAACCCAAGAGTTGATCAACCGTCCATTCGTCCCTCAGCCTTCAAGGGTCAACTATAAAAAGGTGGAAGCACCTTAATGTCTACTGTCGATTCACAGGGTTTCATATGAATCACTCGAGTGGAGTTTCAAATATATACATATATAAGAACATTCTTTATCTCAGTAACGACGCCGTATAACACGTACGTTTGTCTGAACTTTTTTTTGTTTAGTTCAAAAAGCTACAAAAAGAGATAAAATTTTCAATATAAGGTAGATATCCTAAATATAACTCAAGAAAAACCTCAAAGACCCTTTCTGTGAATCTGGGTTCCGAAGTTTTTATGGTTTTACGGCCAACAGCTCTCTACACACAATATCCACAGTTTCTTCAAAAAGCATGATTTTTCAAAAATTTTCATCGACAATATAGGATCGAGAAAACCTACTAAACTACTCAGCTGTGGATCACCACCGGTTGCTCCCAAAGCAAACATTTATACGTGCGAAGATACCCACTATTTGTATTTACATCGTTCTATATCACAGATTCACAAGCAGCGACCACTGTAAACACTATAACGTTAATTATCCGCAAGTTCTGCTAAAGCTAACATGACCGAAACTCACCTATTACGAAGAAAACTATTCCGACGGCGTTCCACATCGTATATCCCATTGCTGCAGGACCAAGGGGTATTGCTGAACTTTTTCCACTAAATCTTAGCACAGTTGTCACAGTAATTATACCATGTCACTAACACGAAACAGGGTCACACTCACTATAGGGTTTATAGCACTCAGCAGTTTTGCAGTGGCATCGAGAACCACGAGAGATGGGTGAGTTCCTCTGGAAATAATGAAAATAAATTATTTGTTAATAATAATGCTTTATTGAGTTTTGTTTTGTACTTTGTGACACTGTTGAAATTAAAGGTTTCAGACTCAGATATACCTCTGAAGAAAAATGGAACTTTTTAAACGCATGAACGGACTTGAACATGTAACAAACTTGCTACGCGTTCTGTACTTAAGCAATTCTCCAAATCAAAAACGTTCTTGTCTAGCTTTTTGCATATATTCGGGGAAAAAAAGCCTAAACTCTTTTTGCTTCAGCTACTATTTTTTCTACTTTACGATGCGACCAAGCAGGAAAATTTGCCCGAGAAATCGCCATTATTCGCCGCATTCCTGTACGTAGAAGTTACGTTTATCTCTCTCGATAAATAATGATATTGAAAAAAGCCACAGCTAAATATTAAATGGATAAATGCATAAAGCGCGTTTTTGGCTTGTTGGGCACAGAATTGGCACTGCTGTTAAAGAAAATTTAATATTAAATGAAATATGACTGATAACGCAGATCCACAGAATTAAAAAAGTGGTGTATGATTGTGGTCCGACTATGTTTGTCCCATGTGGATTTCCACAATGAACACAAAGCTGGAGTCAAAATTTGGGAACGGTAGACAAATTTCAGAGAAAATGCATAAAACGATCTACAGGTCCACAAAAAATAAAAAGTGGTGTATGCTGGGGCTCTCACTATATTCTTACAGATATATAAGCAACTTAAACCTCAAAATTATATTTTTAGCACTTTTTGTGAATGTTTGATCTTGTTGCCTGGCTTACTTTCTTATGAATCCACTGATTACTAATTTTGACTTCATATTTATGTTCAGCATGAAGAATTTCATAAGAGTCAAATAGAGGGACCCCAAATACACATCACTTCTTTCAGTTTGTGGGCCTGTGAATTATTCCTCATTACAAGTGACATAATTATTCTCATAACTTTTTTCTTATTCTCGGTGACTACGTTTACTTATTCCATTCCCTTAAAAGCCGTTGTTGCAGCATCTGCGATTGATCCAGCTCAATTGGGGCAATAGTAACATCGCTAAGAACAAGATTGAGGATCTTAGAGAAAATAGCTTACCTGTCCTCAGAGGATAGATGTTCTATAAACTATTTACCTGCAACTTGCTAATCTAGTACATTTTCCAATAACTTCTATAGGGTAGTCTGTACCATAGTCGCATTCATCTATAATTACTTAAGTATATGGGATAGTTTGTCTACATTTGTCTCGCTTAGGAAGTGACTTTATAGAGAAATAAAATATCGTCAAAAGTGCAATCTTTAAATGAGAATAGTATGTTACATACCAGGTGTGCGAAGTGAGGTGTTATTAGGCGAGCGAGCACTTTAATAATCTGAAGACCGTAGCGTCGAGGGATATAACGTGAGAGACGAATAATGGCCTTCTCAAACGAGGTAGGTATGTACATTTTTTTTGCAACAACACCATTTATTCGCTTTTGCAAATACAATATACAAAACAGCTAGTTATCTGATGTCAAACTGACAAACTTAAATATTTTGAATGCAACAGCCAGCAGATTTGGTTTGGACTGGTCGATGCAAGAGTAGTAAGGAATACAGGTCTGATTTTTTTTCACACTTATAGCCGTTATCAAACATTATATCGATTATCGGGGTAATCAAGGAAGAGAATTGCATGGAAGGAACTATTGTCAAAATTATTTATTTCTGGACTGTTCTAAAATATTTCTAAATGTAAAGTTCAGTTGTCAAACTGAGACAATGGAATTGATGGGATGCAATATCAAATTACATTATTCTTCGCCTAAGTATTTTTTTTCATTATTAATCTAGGGAGGGAAATGCCAATTTTCAATAAGGTATTGCTGTCAATAATGGTGAATTCCCAGATCAACAATGAGTTAACTATTCTTTGTTACATAATCATGGTAGCAAAAATAACATCATAGTAACACTAGGGCAGCTTCTGGAATTTCCTTGATTCCTGACTTCATATGCTTGCAGTTACGACAGTATTGAATTGGAGGTGCCACATATCAGTTATTGGGTGGTTTTGTACTTCCACCATTTTTGACAACTGTTTTACCGGGAGCATTCACCATTCTTTCATAGTTTGATGGGTATTGAGCTGGGACGCTATACTGCCCTGCTAAGCGCAGCACGTTTCTGCAGCTAACCTGGTACCAAGCAAAAGAGGTCCAAAGCTTCTACCTCTGATTTTCGTTTGCCAAAAGCTAGAAATGATTATGTATTTCATTTGCACATTCTTCGTTACTATTCTCTTTACATAGAGATGTATGTACAACCTAATAAGCCGATGTAGTCGTATCTGCAACACTTCCGGCCAGCTTGAGGTTACAAAGACATAAAAGTTATGTAGACGTTATTAGGCGAAAAAGTCGTATATACAGCTGCAGCCTTACAATTGTCAGACTCACACGCGTTAGTGAAACTTTTTTGTGCAAATACGTCGAAGGTAAATGGAGTATTTTAAAGAGACGCTATCGCCAAAAAACTTACCAATATATGGAACATATGATACTTATTTAATAGGTATCAATAACAAATATAATATGTCAGAAGTTGAGTTGTCCCAATAGCTGTTTTTTACTGGCGATACGTTTTTTATAACTTCTTAATAGGGTAAGTATAGTTTTCATGTTTCACGTGTACCATATAGTTGTTTGAACAACATGAAAATTTAATTGGGAGCAAGCCTTTTTCTATAAAGGACGGAGCAGTGGCAGAAATAGGGCGGTACAAGTGGGGCACGCGCCTCCCGCTAGATGACCAAATCTTGCCACTTTTTCCAAGAAACTGATAGATTTTAGTGTAAGAGTTACTTTACTAGACATTACCCCCCTTCCTAAACGTATCTTCCAGCCCCGCTCTTCAATTCTGCCACAACATTTACTCTTAGAAGCGCTGCTCTGATTTTTAATGTATAATCGCTAAAAGTTATGTCAGAAAATAACCCATTCAAAAGTATGATAAGCAGAATTACTCTATCTATACTGTACCTAAAGTGACTAAGTCAACCCATACTTATTGCCATCACCCTTATAATTGCTAAGGTAAAATGATTTAAGAATAGCGAGTTTCGTTTACTAATTATGTGTTATCCTTTCTTTTATCGTAACTCTAATTGGTTGACATGGATTTATGTGAACCCCTTATTGCCATTGATTACTTGAAACACGTTATGTCCTCTGTGTTATATTCATATTCTATGTGTTTCCTTATTCAGTTTATTTTTACATCTCACAAACAGTCTTCTGTTCTGTGTGCCAAAAAATGTTAGCATCGTAGTTCACAGAACACGAAACAAGGTATTTTAATACATATCCATTAAGGACGGTTTGTTTCTTTCATAAACAGTTGATAGCAACACACCAAATAATCTCCAAAAAAGGGTAAAATAATATTAGTATATCAGATACTGATAATAAATATATTACTTAGTTTGCTAATTACCCCCCCTCTCCTTTTAATTCCGATGTAATAAATAGATTTCTCCCTCGTTTTCGCATCATTTACATCAGTACAGCTTTGATGTTCAATATCACCAGTTAAACTATATTGATGCACGATACAACCACAAGAAGACTCAGTAGGTGCCACTATAGAAAATTTCTGACTGGCACTTAGCGTAATCCAAAATCACCGGAAGGACACTAACCAATAGCAACACTAAATAACTGCAGCCTGCTCACAGTTCCAACAAAAGTCCCGAAAAGTACCTCCTAATAACCGCCACACGTCTCAGACCGGTCGCGACACCGCAACTTCCCTCAAATATTCGCTTCGGCTGACGTCTTCGTAGCGGAAACGCACCCTCATCTCACAGGGTAGCACGAAGTCTCCGCGGCGGCACACGGAGAACGAGTGCCGTCCAGCCGGCTGGCCTACCCTGATTCCACATGCGCGCAAGCGTTTCTCCAATCACGCTGTCAACGGGGCCCTACACTCATAATAATTGTTGATGACTAGATGCAATTTTGATAGATTGGCGCACCTGATGCCGTTTCTGCATCCTGATATCTGTCACCATTCGTTCGTTAATATCGCATTGCGCGTCGATTGCTTTTTGAAATTGAAGTGCAGATTCGCGGACTTGCGTTCAGCGTCTGACTAGCCCGGACAACATACGTTTTGAAAAAGCATTTGACCTTCGTTACGACTAGCTAAGATAATAATAATAACGTCTTTATTGGATAACCCGGAGGGACATAAACAGCGAAGTTTAGCCAAGGCTACTCTTACACTTAACTGTTTATGTCGGTTACATCTGATGTTCAAAACATGGGAAAAAAATATAAGAACAATGAAAAAAAGAACACATATATACCTAAGTATAAAATACAAATAGACACAATCTATATCTGTAGCAGAAATGCTTATTTAATCAATAGCGAGCAACATGCTTTTAGTATAGTTTACGAAAACTTTCCAAAGACATCAATTTAATACTGTTGTCCAACTGATTATAAAATAGTGCTGCATTATATGTAAATCCTCGTCGGAATAATGCAGAAGTGTGTGGGGTGGTTCTGATACTATAACGATTACTAAAAGCCCTGTCATGCACTTCGTAATTAAATCTTAACTTAGCTCTTAGATATTCAGGCTTTGATGACAATATTATTTTATGAACTAAAACTAAGAATGTATGTTTAACCAAACTTCCTAACCTAATCCAGTTCAATTCCCTATATTGATCACTTACGTGGTAAATAAAGCGAACACAGTTATTTTGGATGATTTGAAGACGATTTTTGGTCAATTGATCCAAACATGGATAATAAACGACATCACAGTAACTTTGCATTGACATCACCAAAGATTCGCACAGTTTGTCTCTCAGCTTAAAGTTAAGCAAGTAGCGATTGGAATAAAGAGCCCTAGAATATAGGTAAGTTTTTTTCATGAAATTAGCTATTTGGCTGCGGAATCTTAATTTTGTGTCAATTTCCACTCCTAGTACCTTAGCTATTTGAGTATGCTGTAATGTTATGCCACCAATAGTCAGATGGAAAAAATCTTCGACAGTTTTCCTCTTCTGATCAGAACAAAACAATAACACTTGTGTCTTATCTGGATTAATAGCAAGATTATGTTCCATAGAAAACTGATGTACCTTATCTAAATCAAGCTGAAAAATGTCTGATGAATTTTGCGTATCTGAGGCGTCGAAATGGAATATTATTTAAGTATAGTATCGTCAGCAAATGTTTGTATCCCTGAATTGTCAACTAATTTATGCAGGTCACACGCGTAAATCAAAAAGAGCACAGGTCCCAAAATTGAGCCTTGCGGAACTCCTGACGGAATAGTCGTAATATTGGATTGATCGTTATTGATTGCGACACATTGCGTGCGACCGCACAAATAGCTACGGAAAAAAAAGATGAATAGTTGACGCCGAAGTAGCATTGTTGCGGGTGAGCAATGTTTAAAAGCAACTTCCGTACCGTGCTGCGAAATCTTTTTAAAAAAATGTTCATTATTCGATCCAACTGGCCACAGTGTATGTCGGACGTTTGTGTACGTATGCCTGTGAGCATTATATCTGAAAACTGCCAGTTACTGAAAAATGATATTTTAAAATCCTGAAGCATCAGTCGTTGCCATGAAAAATGCGAAATAACTACACTGGCGAACAAAATTAAAACAATTTTTTGTGACATGGACAAAACAAGGTGGTTATCATGTAAAACGTACTAAAAAGCCGGAAATAGCAATCGATTTTTTCTATCGCCCCCGGTTTTCTTGCAATAAGGCATTTTATTTGCTGCTTATAGTCGTAAAATATAAGGATATGTATGTAACAGTATACTAGTAAACACTCAAGTAAACATTAATCTCAGAATGTTTTTGTCGATGTTTTACGGCCATATGTTGCTCCTGAAGTATCTCTTAACAATGTTCAGCAATAATCAGCAAGCAAATTGAGACTCCATTTGCCTTGATACCGGTTTTCCATAGCAGGAATGTCTTGGTGGAACCGCGCAACTAGCAAAGTAGTGGTATAAGCTTTTGGTAAAAGAACCGTTCAGCCATAAAAGCTCTCTATTGTTGTTGCCTGAACACCAAAATGTTGGCTTAATGTTGTGTGGAATGCAGATTTGCTTTCTGCAACATGTTTGCTCTAAAATGAAGTGTTTAAAATATTCTTATAGCATAGTTATACAACACCTTATAGGGAAAATTTTTAACTGTTGCATAAACGTTTATACAACTATTTTATACGGCACATTTGCAAGTTAGTCAAAATGGTTGTGTTATGGCATCCATGGTGACGTTTATAAAACAAACCCGAGCCTTGTTGTTTTGCTGTGCAATTTACTACCTTAGCCAACAAATTGCTCCCAACGGAAGCACTTATACAACTGTTGTTTAGTAACTATTAAAGGCTGTACATATGCTAAACATGTTGGTAAACAACTTCACCATAACCCAACTTTCTGCTGTCATATTTTTGTTAAAATGCCATAACCAATGTTTTAAGACAAACAACGCATGCATATTGGTTCAAAACGTTTTATCAACTGTTCAAACAAAAGATATAGATCTGGTACACATTCTGGGTAAACGATTCGACTCTGTCGGTATTTCATTTCAGACATTTGTCACTTTGTTGTATAACACCTAATTACCTAAGGACAACATGGACGATGCCATGATTGTACACAACCACCCGCCATATTGGGCAAACATTTATTCCTCTATTTAATATTAAATAATTATGTTTCAGTTCGAAATTAGTGTAATTGTGTCTAAATATAGGATTGGTGGAAGGTTTAACGCAGATAAGTTCTAGACATACTTTTGCTCATTGTCAAAATATGAATCAAATACCAAGCCCGTAGAAATTGAGTAACTAATTTGCACGATAATCACAATAAAATTTGCTGCGCAAGTAATTCAATAGACTTATATCAAAGTGTAGAAGTTTATCATATACCTACCTGTGTATGAAATTCACAATGGCCGATATGTAAGTAAACAAGATGACTGTAATGTGTTAGTTATATATTCTTCACTTCGTCTATACAATACATAAGAAATAGTTTGGTTGCAATAAAGTAGAATCACGTAACAG